TTTTTTTTTTCAGTTCTGGGAACACAATTCTGGCTGCCCTACTTCATCACCGTCCAGCATGAGGCTTGCTCCTAATAGTGCTGGTTCACAAATGCCACTAATGATGCATTCTTCAAGAATGTCACAAGGTTAGTGCGACCACTTTTACGGTGGGACCACTCATGGTATTTAATATTGTTTTTAAAATTCGCTTTTGTATAAAGGAATCGCTGTAACTGGAGTTTTCTTAAAATTTGCTTTGACGTGTTTTCCTGATCTTCGAAATTGGGTTTTGGTACGGTAAGGTTTTTGTAGCCTGAACTTTTACTTAAATCACCAGGTTTTTCCAAAAGTTATGGTTTTCTGAATCGTTTTCATTGGTGATCAAACACTTTTATATGGCAATTGTTTTAGTTGGTTCTGTGATCAGGCGGCTTTTTTCTGAGAATTTTTAGCTTTTTAGAAATCGGTGTAATTTAGTTTTATTTTCTGTATTAACGCTTCATCTTGTGTCTTTTGGTGTTATTATTTCATCTAATTGTTGAAAATACTACTTTAAATTTTTGACTAAAAGTGCATGTATTTGATTACAAGTAGTCTGTCGTTTCGCAACACTACATTATATTCAATTTTAACTCAAATGGCTCTTTTGCTGTTAATAGTTCTTACGCTGAGTGGTTGTTAACCGTTTAAAACGTTCAATGTTTTATAGTTCTCTTCTGTCTATCAACTAGCCTTCAGTGCTACTTGCCTGAGGGCTGACAGTAATGCTCTTTCAAAATAACACTTCTTTTTGCCTTTATTCCTGACTACTATTGTAGCAATTTGGTTTTATTCTCTTTTCGGTATTTATTATAGTTTTTCTTTTATAGCTTCCAGGTATCTCACGGAATTGTTTATATGCCTCCTTAGTCACCGTTAAAATTTTTGTGAAATGACTTTAGGCTGTTTTTAAAGTACCTTAGGGTAATTTTTACTTACCTTAGCTCTCACATAATGTGTACTACACTTTTTGCTGCTTTTTTTTGTTTGGATTCCAGTTTTTTGTAATTTTCTGAGATTCATTTTACCATTTTAAATGTGCAGAAATTATGCTGTTTGTTGGACTTTTTTTGCATTTCCTTCTGAATCACTAATGATAATTTCTTCTAATTTTTTTACCATTGAAAAAGGCTATTCTACCCTATAACCATGTGCAAATTAACCAAATTTTTTCTTTTAGGCAGAAGTCCCTTAAATAGTCCTGTAGGTGTGCATGGGTCGTCTTATTCTGCTAGGCCTCCTTCTAACGCTCCATCGTCTCCATTTCTGCAACCTTCGCAAACACCAGTACATTATCCTCAAGGCATGCAGCAGATGCCACAAAGCCCAGCCAGTTAGTTCACTGAATAATATCATTCAATTTTTGCAAGTTACTTGTTAGAACAATTAAGGATTAGTCTATCTTTAGCTAACATGATGCCAAGTGGGCAGGTTCCACCCGCCTCTCCTGGTAATGTGTATCAGCCACGCATGAATACGATGGGGCCTATGCAGCAACAATATTCGTATGCCCCGCAGGTACAGCAGCAGTGGAATCCTCCACCACAGCCGGTAAATTAGTCTCATCTTCTGTCCAAATTCGCATAAAACACTGTAGTTCTTTCTAGAACGTCTGTATTGTACAAGTATTCTTTCAAGTATTATAATAAGAAATAGAAAACTCATATGTTGAAACAGTATCAAATTGCTTAGTTTTTGCAAGAAACGATCTGCTGGAACTCGATTTTCGGACCATCAGCCATACTGTTAACTTTTCTTTTTTTTCCTATTTAGCATTATGTTGGGCAACCTCAAATGATGAGCTCATCTGGACAGAGAGTTATGATACAACGAGTACCTTATCTTCCGCCAGGTACTCCTTTGAATTCTGCTTACATTTTCAATAAAAAAATTTTTTTTGGTTTTGTAGATTTTTGAAGTGCCATTGTTTATTTCAAAATTCTTTCTGAAGTAGGTTTATATTTTTTGGGTTTTTTCAAAATACTGAATCTTTTCAGTATTATATGCTGACTTTAGTTTTCATATTCCTTTTTTATGGGTTGCATTCTTTTTTGTATTTTTCTTTCTGTCTTGAAAACTTTCAGCTCTATTTCATTTTTCTTTGCTATCTTGCTCAGTTTTAGTATTTGTTGGTCTTGCCCTCTTTGTTTCATCTGTCTAATTTTGAAAAATTTTAAAAGCTGGGCATTTTTTGTTTTTCAGCGTCATAGTTTCTCCGAATTTTTTCTTTTTTGTTCCCAAATTAGTGCTTCTTGTAACCAAAATGTAGAATTTCTGTAGAACGGGTGACAGACGTCAACGTCATTCTGTGAAGCTAAAAGTTTTAGTTTTTTACGTATCAACGTGGTAAATGTTGGTTGTCTGATGACCGTGCATTATTTTCTCTTTTTTCGACTTTTTTTTTTTAGTTACTTATGTCGTATGAAAGAACAAAGTGGTTTTTTTTCAATTGGAAAAATGAACCGGGTTTTGTTTTTCTGTCAAATGAATTGGACACATTCTTTTTACCAGCTTATCTTTTTCACCTTTACAACAGTTACGTATTCTGTTGGAAGCGATCATAAAATTTGTTTTTGAAATAACTGAAACAGGGAAATTATGTGAAATAAACCTTTGTAGTATTTATTAAATTAATTTATCTTGCTGTGTGATGACTTTGAAATTTTTATTCGAACGCGATTTTTTATGAAAGGTATAATTCTGAAGTTTAATCTTGACGAAGTAATGTTAGATTTTTTTCATTCTGGTATCGTATCGCACGTTGATGTGACGATAGCGTTGTGTTGGCTTGTTGGAAAGTGCACTTAAGGATGTTCTGTAATTGTTTTGAAAAAATTTCTGTTTTACCAACTGTCTTTCTCAGCGGTACTTTCAATTATTATTTTTTTTTTTGTGCTTGTTTGTTTGTTTGTTTTTTCATTTATTTATTTGTGCCTTTCACATTTATTGCTTTTTTATTCTCTTATACTTTCTTTTCCTTTCCTTTTGCAGCAGTATATAAAAAGAAAAAGGAGGATTAACGGCGAAGGGAAAAGAAAGTTGTTTGCGATTCTTAAGGTTAGAAATCAATCTGTATGCTTTTCTGAAATTTTTCTTTTTTTTTTTGCTGTTTGAGGGGGAGGGAAGAAATTTAATATTCCTCTATTTTTTTATTCTCATTAAATTTTACTATTTTTTATTGCTTATTTTGTTTTGTCATTTTGAGCTTCCAAAATGAATGTTTTTTTCTACTTTTCTCTGGTGTGCTGTGTTCTTAAAATATCTTTTGAAAACAAAATTGGTTTTTCATGATAATTTATTGCTGGAAACATTTCAGTTTTCAGTTTCTAGCCTTTTTGTTTCTTTAT